CTCAGCCTCCTGAGTAGCTAGGATTACACAGGCATGAGCCACTGGCACCTGGTCATTTCCAGCTTTTTAGTGATTAATTGGATATAAGAGTCTCACAAACTTTACTGTCCAGGCTGGCTGGATTTAAATCAAGATTCTCGGATTTCAGCCTCATGAGTAGCTATGATTATAGGTGTAACCTACCAGCTACACTGCAGTTTTTAAGGGGCCCTAGTGATTGGTCATGGCAGTAGCCAACTATCTTTCAGAAGCTTCCTGGGAGATAGCGCCACCTATTGTTCATTGATATAGAAAAACCTTCCTAGTACTGAGGAATGACCATCTCATTGCCTGTTGTGGACAGTGGCAGATAACCCATGTAAGAATAATTTAGTAAGTACATTGAATCAAGGATCTTAATGGCTTAGGGCCCAGAGAGATTCCAGCAGCTGTGTAGGGTTAACCACAGAAAAAAAGGTCAGAGTGGTGATCAGAACTTGTGGCTCAGAACTTGGGTCCTCTGCCTTTGAAGTTCCAGTAGCTACACCTGATAACCCTAACGTGCAATGGGCCTCCTTTTATGGGTGGTCAGGAAAATGAGGAGACAAAAGCTAGCAGGGAGAGAATTTGAAGAAGAGGACTGATAATGACTTAAGGTTTCAGAGTCTTTGCCTTTGGGCATGTGAACTGAGTGACATCATTGGGATTTTATTTTAGAATTGTCAGAGAGATTCTTACAAGAATACTGATGTTTGTTTAGGAGTTACAGTACTAAGGGAACAGCAAGGTATTACAATGGGCTAAGTATATTGTAGGAACCATGGATGTTTAAAGAGGATAAAACAAATCAAAATGATTTCAATATTTGTAATACCAAATATATGAATACTCCCTTATCACATCAACCACTTTTCCAACTCTCTGACATAACTAAAGAGTTCTATCATTTGATCCGGGGATGATACTATGTAGAGTTGGCACAGACACCTCAAGTGTATCATTCCACAAAACTGCCCTTCACATATGCTTCATAAGTCCCCAGGCCACTTGTCTAGGAATGAGAAGTCCCACAACCTCTTCCCTTGATTTAATGATTTGCTATAATGGTTTACATAAGTCAAGAAAATGCTTTAGTTACTGTCACTGATTTAGTATCAGAGCTATTCAAGTTGAGCATTAATGGCTCACACTTGTAATCCTAGCTACTTGGGAGGCTGAGATTTGAGGATCTTGCCTCAAAGCCAGCCTAGCTAGGAAAGTCTGTGAGATTCTTATCTCCAATTAACCAGTGAGAAAAGCCAGAAGCGGAGCTAGCTGTGACTTAAGTGGTAGAATGCTAGCTTTGAGCAAAGAAGCTCAGGGACAGCATGTAGGCCCAAAGTTCAAGAAAAAAAAATCTGAGGATTGTAGTTCAAAGCCAGCTTGAGCATGAAGCTCCATGAGACTCTTATCTCCAATGAACCACCAAAAAGGCCAGATATGGAGCTGTGGCTCAAGTGGTAGAGCACAAATCTCAGTGACAGTGCATAGGCCCTGAGTTCAAGCCCCAGCACTAGAATCGGCTATGAACAGGTGCAAATGAACAGGTATATAGGACAAGGTCTAGATCTTGGGCACAAGAGTTTCTTTTACTTGCCAACCCGGGAGTTCTCCAAAACCATTTTTTTTAGGGCCTTTATGGAGACTTCCATATGTAGCCACCATTGATTAGATCACTGTGCATTGGTGATTACTCGGATACCCTGCTCTTCTCCCAGGAGGTTAGAGATAGGACTGTAAAGTTCTACTTTTCTAATCATGTTGTTGGCTCTTCTGGTAACCAGGTCCCGTCCTCGGAGAGTCACCTACCTAGAGATCATAAACTCTCATTAATTAAAAGATCTAATCTCCTGGGCACTGGTGGCTCATGTCTATAATCCTAGCTATTCAAAAGGCTGAGATTCAGAGGACGGCAATTGCAAGTCACGCCAGGCAAAAACAAAAGCTTTGTCACTCCATCTCTAATTAACTAGCAAAAAAAAAATACTGTACTAGAAACATGGCTCAAGCGATAGAACACCAATGGAACTAACAAGGTGAACAAGGTAATTTAGTGCAAGGCCCTGACCTGAGTTAAAGCCACAGTACCAGCAATCAATCATGAAATGAACTTAAGGGGGAAAATGGGGGAAAGCAAAAGAAGGAGTGACATTGTCTAAAAGAGAAATGTACTCATTACCTGACTTATGGTAGCCTCTCTGTACACCTTAACAATAACAATAATTGCATTTTATAAAAAATGAAATGAACCTAATCTGAATTAAAATACATACCTCTCATGTTCCTCTCTCTCAAGAGGACTGTAGGAAGAAAAGTTGACTAGAGATGAAGACTCAATATATATTTATGATATCAGAATATGACATATCCCACAGCAAACAATGACAAAGTGGGATTGAGAAGGGAGGTTTTTAGTCAGAATCTCAAATTCTTTTTGTTGTTGTTGTCAGTTGTGAGGCTTGAATTCAGGGCCTGGGCACACTGTCCCCAAGCCCTTTTGATCAAGGCTAGTGCTCTACCACTTTGAGACACAGTTCCACTTCCAGTTTTCTGGTGGTTGACTAGAAATATGAGTCTCATAGCTCTGGGAATGTGGCTTGTGAGTAGAGTGCTTGCCTAGCATGCATGAACCCCTGAGTTTGATTCCTCAGTACCACATAAATAGAAAAAGCCAGAAGTGACACTGTGACTCAAGTGGTAGAGTGCTAGCCTTGAGCAAAAGAAGCTCAGGCCCAGGACTGGCAAAACAAAACAAAACAACAACAACAACAAAACAGTCTCATGGACTTTCCTGCCTGGGTTGGCTTTGAATCTCCATCTTCAGATCTCAGCCTCTTGAGTATTATAAGCATGAGCCACTAACACCCAGAATGAGTCTCAGATTCTTAAGAGCCTCAAGTAACAACCCTTATAGTGGCACCCTTGTAGTGTCAATGCCTCCTTCTGGAGGGAAGTTGGAGGACAGTGGATGGGCAGTTGATATTCTAACATTATCCAGAAATACATGTCACGGCCTTTTGATGCTTGATTCCGAGGATCCACAAAATGGCTGAAACCAGATTTGGGGGAGGAGGAGAGGGAGGGTTTCCATTCTGCTCACAACTGTCAGGCCACGTAACATAAGCATTAATGACACCAAGACCTTCCTCTTTCTCCTAGGCAAACAAACCACACCTGAAAACAAAGTCCATATCAACTTCCAATTACCTGCAACCATAGCACCTTTCATTTTCCTGTAATTCATCACTTCTTAGGGAACATCCCTTCACCTTACTCCAGTTTTACTGACACACAGGCATATATAGTTGGCAGGATATAAGAAGGACCATTCATTCACCTGCTAGCCTTCTTCCCTAGGTCTGGAGCCAGAGAAAAATTATCTGAAATTGACAAAGGAGAAATTAAGGTAGGAAACTAAGGGTTGTTTGGAGGGAGGGAAGGAGAGTAGGATTAGGCAAGAAGTATAGTATGGAACAATGAGAGTGGATGCATAGTATTTATTTTTTGGGGGGGAGGGGGTCCGGTCATGGGCCTGAACTCTGGGCCTGGGCACTGTCCCTCAGCTCTTCAACTCAAGGCTAGCGATCTACCACTTGAGCCACAGCGCCACTTCCGGCTTCTTTCCTTTTTGCTTATGTGGTGCTGGGGAATTGAACCCAGGGCCTCAGGCATGCAAGGCAAGCGCTCTACCCCTGAGCCACCTTCCTAGCCCATGATGCATAGTATTTAAAGGGAGTGTTGTGTGTGTGGGGGGGGTGTACCTCCTGCTCTGGCTCATCGTTAGTAGTGGTTTGGAAGGTAGGAACCAGGTAGCTTCAAGCATTATACATACCTCTGCTCTGCTCCCTGTCCTGTTTGCTTTCTCTTTCTCTTTCACTGTGGCATTGGTATAACCCTGGAAACCATGCTGATTAGGAAAGTGGCTCGTCAACAAAGTTGGTAGAGCAATCAATAGCAGTAAGCCACCCGGGATGACAGCAAAGGAAAGAACCGCCCAAGCGCCTACCAAACTCTCTCAGCCAACAGCAAATCAGAGAAAATATTTGTAAAGCTATGAGGGTTTCCCTTCCAGCCTCCACAATGACATCCTGGCCCCATTAATTCTGAATTATAAAAAATATCCACAGAAAACTCTCAAAAGGAAAAGAAAACTTGTGGGTTTTTTTTGTTTGTCTGTTTGTACTGGACCAGGGACTTGAACTAAGGGCCTTATGCTCTCAATTAGCCTTTGTGCTCAAGGTTGGCGCTCTGTCACTACAGCCACAGCTCCACTTCCAGCTTTCAGCTGGTTAATTGGAGATGAGGCTCTTGGATTTGTCTGCTCAGGCTGGCTTCAAACTGTGATCCTCAGATCTTAGCCTCCTGTGTGACTAGGATTATAGACATGAGCCACTTACACGCAGTCCGATTCATTTTTGAATCACCTGCTTCCTCCATGTATGTGGAAAAAACAGATTGATTTCAAGTTTAACCAACACAGGGGAAACAGACCGGTGTACAACAAAGCTAATGAGAAGTTTGTGAAACTCACGCAGAATCCTGGTTTGTGTGGTCCATGCTTCGACCTTCTTGATGGCGAATGGGAATTGCTTGAAGTCGGAGCCTGAGTCCTGACATCTAGGCTACTCTGTGGCTGCTTCCAGCTGAGTCCTCATCTGGGGCTGTGGCATGCCAGGCCTTTAAAACACCCAGTGGGCAGCTTGGTGGGGTGGGTGGAGGATATGGCTGCTTGCCCAGAGGAGGGTATCTGCCCCATCTGCCTGGAACCCCTGAAGGAAGCTGTGAGCACCGACTGCAAACACCTCTTCTGTCGAGTGTGCCTGACTCACCATGTGGAGGCCTCGACGTCCAGGGTCCTCTGCTGCCCCCTCTGCCGGAAGCCCTGTTCTGAGGACGTGCTGGGTGAAGGTTACATCTGTCCCCATCACCAGAAAAGGGTATGCAGGTTCTGTGAGGAGACAGGAAGCCTGCTGTGTGTGGACTGCCTGGAGTTACCTGAACATCAGTCCCATCTCAAGCCAACCATTAAACATGCCATCAGCCACTATAAGGTAAAGTGGTTCTGCTGTCCATTCTCCCTCCATCCCCTCCCCCTCCCAGTTACTGACTCCTTCCTGTACCCAGTACCCTAGAGGCTCAGACACCTTCTTTTGTCATTTCTACCCAATCCTGTTGTCGATCCTTGCCTTTGCTTTTCTGTGTATATCTGATGGCATTCTGCCTTTATGTGAGATCATCTAAAAAGCCATGCTGTCACTCTGATGATGGATTCCCAGCATGGACCACTTTGTTTGCTCATCTGTAGACTGAGGAAGTTAGACTATATCAAGCAAAACCCTTTCTGTACTGAGACTGTTTGCCTTGCGGTTAACAGCACTAGAAACGTGGCTAGAAGTGTAGTTAAGGGCTAGTAATCATCGTCTAAGTAATTGAAATTGGAAATTAACACATGGTTTCACACCTCCCCCTTCCCCTTTCCTTCTTTGACTTCTCCTTTGAAGAACATTTGCTAGGAAAGTCTCTTATCGATTTTGTTTTGTTACTTCTTCATTAGCTGTGGCACCCTTTTACTTTTTATTTTTTCTTGGCTGTCCTGTTGCTCTATTTTCTCAGCCCTTCCCCCCAACCCCCCCGAAATTCTTGATAGGTTATGTCTTTTTGCCCATGTGCTAGCATATCTGAGGCTCCTGCTAGTTTACTAGAGAAATCTATGCTACCACTCAGGGCTCCTCAATGAAACAATTCTCTTTTCCTGGCCATTTTCTGAGTTTTCACTGTCATTGACATAATAGTCACACTGCAGTTGGCCCCTGGCAGTGTGTGGTGTTGCTGCACATCCACTCTGTCCTTCAGTCTTCATACTTGTAGCTACAACCCTTCACACCTCCCCACCCTTCAAGCCCCCCCCCCAGAAGTCTGATCTCCAACTCCTATCTTTTTAGACAGTAAATCAACTCATCAACTATAGATGAGTAATCATCTAATCATCTGTAGCTGGCAACATTATTTGGTCTCCATCTTAATCTCTTTAGGAATGAAAAATAGGCAGATACAAAATTTTAAATAACTACAACTACAGGATAGCCACGGCGGCGGGGGGGGGGGGGAGGAAGGAGCAAATCAAAACCTGCCCTCTCCATTTCTGTTAAGTGGGTCTTGGAAACTTCACAGTACTCTTGGTTTTCAGAATTCCTGTGGATATTCCTGTATGTTAATATTGTCAATTTAACTTAAGAATTATTTTCATCCATCTTTCCCCAGTCCAAACCAATTAGTATTAAATTGGATGGAAGACAGGCAATATTTACACCATAGTGTCTTTCTATTCAATAACGAAGGGTGATTTTCCAGTCTTCTTTTTGACACATGATTTTGCAAGAACACTGTTTGGAGATGATATAGAAAGGTATAGAAAGGTAGACAAATAATGCAGGAAAGTGAAGTGGGAATATTCAGTGTTGGTCTGTACCCCCAGGTGTGTGGTCTACAGGAGAACAGGAAGGGACGTTCCAATAATCAATGAGTCAGACCTGAGGGAGAAAAATCTACTCACTCACTAAATGATTTACTCGGGCCTGAACTTTGGGGAGAATGTGATGTTAGGCGTTGTAGGAAGTGGAAAGATGATTCATGATCATCGTCTTCAAATCTCTGTTTAAATAATGACAGGAAATGGAGCACAAATAAATAACAATAGTATTTTTTCATTTAAGGAAAACAGTGAGCTCTTCCTGAAAATATATTAGAAACTTAAGTGTGGTAGGGATGAATGATGAGTGAAGTCTGTTACCCTGGGTTTTCAATTAAGTAAGGAAGACAGACACATAAGAAATCAAATAAGTTAGAAGTTTTCATGACCCAGGAAGGAAATAAATAAGAGTGTGAATGGGCTGGCCCACGTTAATTTGGTTTTGAGGGGAAGGTGATATTGAAGTTGAGACCTAGAAAAAAAGAAGTGGACCCATGCAAATACTGGGGAAAGGAAGCAGATACAGAGGTCCAAATGTGTCCACGTCTTGTTACATTTAAATTGTTTGCAATCAGAGTTTAAATAGACAGGATCTATTGGTAGATTCAAAGCAGGTAAAAGAGTAAAAAGAATCAAACATGACCTCATGAGTTTCTGGTTTAAGCTACTAAAGGGATGATGTGAATGATAAGGATTGAGGAGAACAGGCTTGAATGAAACATCAAGAGTTTCACTTAGGACAAGTTGAATCCAAGCTGAAGATTCTCACAGACTTTCTTGCCCAAACTGTCTTTGAACTGTGATCCTCAAATCTCATCCTCCTGAGTAGCTAAGACTGAGTCGCCAGTTGCCCAGATCAGGAAAGAGTATTTTAAGAAATGACAGTACACCAGGCACCAGTTGCTCACATCTGTAATCCTAGTTGCTCAGTAGGCTGAGATAGGAGGATAATTTGAAGCCAGCCTAGGTAGGAAAGTCTATGAGACTCTTATCTCCATTTAACCACTAAAAAAGCCAGAAATGGAGCTGTGGCTCAAGTGGTAAAGTGTTAGCCTTGAACAAAAGGCTCAGGGACAGTGCCTAGGGCCTGAGTTCAAGCCCGAGGCCTCCCTCCCTAATGCCACCCCCCCACATGAAAGTTCAGGGACAGTGCCCAGAACCAAGATTCATATAGAAAAAAATCTAGAAGGAAGGATTTTTGAATGCTTTTACTACAAAGGAATGATAAATTTCTGAGAAGTTAGGTATTCTTACCCTGATTTGACCATTCTATAATATATAAATATGTATGCAAACATCACATAGTATCCTATTTACAATTTAACATTCACTAAATAAAGTGAGTTAAATTGTATTAAATTATAAATTGTAAGCATAACGTACTTTAAATTGTAAAGTATAAATTTAATGTACAGTAAATTATACATTTACAATTAAATCAAATTAATTACACTAACTTAATTTATAGCAACTTAAATATACACAAGGAAGATTGGCCCATGACTTTTACAAGTGAGAAGAAAAGCACCCTGATATCAAGTAGAAATACTTCTGTCATTATCTGTTATTTTTATATTTCTAAAACTTAAAAAAAGATTATTCATCACTTTTTTCCTTCATTATCTATAAAATAAACTTTCAAGTTCCTTACCTCAGACATGCCTCAAAGTTGCCTGTTTTATTTTGTTAAAATTATGATTATTTTTGTTGATCATTGAACCCAGGGCCTGGGCGCTGTCCCTTGAGCTTTTTTGCTCAAGACTGGTATTCTACCACTTTGAGCCACAGTGCCACTTCTGGTTTTCTGATCGTTAATTGGAGATAAGAATCTCAGAGTCTCATGGACTTTGCTTCCCAGGCTGGCTTTGAACTGCAATCCTCAGATCTCCACCTGCACCCAGCAGTTGCCTGTTTTAAAGATGCAGGATTTTAAAGATGCCTCATCTGGGATCAAGACCCAACCATGATTCGTCAAATCTTACCCCAATATTTTGCCCTCATCCCTGGTTAATCAAACAGATGTGTCTGTCTCTTTAGAAAAGACTCAACCGCCGGAGCAAGAAGCTTAGAAAAAACCTGGGAGAACTTGAGCGGCTGAAGGTGCAGGAGGAGGAGAAGCTGCAGGCTCTGCAGGTACGCAGTTGGAATCCAGGGAAGTCCTGTGTCTGTGTCACTCAATAACCTGGGATAACGTGATGGTTGTGGAGGCTGGAAATCTGTGTTGATGTGGTTTAAGGATTAGCTAGCAGAAGGGCCATCTAGACCTACATGTTAACTGAAACCCGATCCTGTTCTCCCTGATGCATGAGAATCAGAAGAGACAAATGAAAATGACTGCACAATCTATAATGCTGTCCCCAACGGTTTGTCTTTTTGTTCACCTTGCTCCTTTGGGTGAACTCTCTGCTAATCTATGACCTGAAGAGAGCTAAAAGCAGGCAATGAGAGTTGCCTGCTGAGAAGTGTTGTATGTGTGCATGTGCACCCACGCTTCCACCACACTAAGACTTGACATCTGCAGAGATGCACAAGAGTGCAAAGGAGAAGAAAAGCTACCTCAACTTTCTGAGGGGCACAGCTGTCTCTGAAGTTCTTGTGGCAGGTGAGACGCTGCTGTGAGGGTAGGAGGACACACTCAGATGGAGGACGTGCATTGGCACACAGCTCTCAGCTCCTGGAGGGCTGGGAGGGAGCCATTTGCCACTGGGTCTTAGGGAGATCCATTTCTTTGGTTTCAGGTTGACTTAACATACCTTAAGCTAGAAGCAGAGCTGGAGAGCCAGTGCCAAACCAAGGGGCAGCTGGATGCTGTCTGTCAGCAGCAGCTGGGCCAGCTGGAAGACATGCCAGCAGAGGCAGCCAGATACCTTTACCTCTCCAAGGCGGTCATCCAGCTTGCCAATCTGGTCACAGATATAGAGAAGACGTCCAAGGAACTGGATGCCACTACACTGAAGGTATTTATCCTGAGACATCTCCCCAGTCCTAGGACTGTCCCTGAAGAGTAGGTGTCCCACCTGCAATGCACACTTCCTCTGGGGCGTGTAAGGGGAGAGTCTCTTGTGATACATGGTGACAGGCGCTGGTGGTTTGTCCAGAGCCAAATCATGTTGTATCATCAGAGAATCCCTTCAAAGCCTTCAAAGCTTCCTAGGCAACAGCCCCAGAGTGGACTTCAGGAGCTGGTTGGGAAAAGAATGAGGTTGCCAGGAACTTGAGAACTGATTATAATTCTCACCATCTTTCTTTCTCTCCTAGAATGTCTGTGACTTACTGAAAAGGTACGAAGCATCCTTTCCTTCCTCCATGTGTGCAGACACGTGCAAACCTCACACACCACAGACACACACACACACACACACACACACACACACACACACACACACACACAGGCTCCATCAAGATCAAGGAGACCTGCTTTTCTGTTATCCATGCTATGCAGCCTGTGCAGGCTCAACAGATACATGAGTATATATGAATTTATGAGGGTTTTCTTGTTTCTAGGAGTGCTCCACAGAATTTAGATGGACTGCTCTCTCACCTTTCTCCCACCGGTCCAGCCCCCCATTAGCTCTGCCTGGTGCATCTTCAGCTCTGGTGTCTCTTCAACAAGTTCCTATGTCCTCATTCCCACAGCCATCATGTGATGTCTTACTCTGTGACCCATGGACACAATCTCCTTTCTGGACCGGGCCCAGACTTGTGGCTCCCACTGTGGTGGTCAGTTCCACGATCTTGGGGACCATTTACACAATGTGCCTTTTTGTCTATGAAGCAATGTAGCATGCACAGTTCACATTTCATGTTAAAAATAGGAGGAGCTGGGAAGGTGACTCAGTGGTAGAGTGCTTGCCTCGCATGTATGAGGCCCTGGCTTCAATTCATCAGCACCACATAAGCAGAAAAAGCTGGAAGTGACATTGTGGCTCAAGTGGCAGGGCAGGGACAGCGCCCAGGCCGAGTTCAGCCTCCACAACCAACAAAAAAAAGGGGGGGCGGTGATCATCCAGGTATCTGTATGGCAAAGCTCTCGAGTAATGAGACCACCTCAGCATATGGAGCCTAAAAGGTCTATGAGAAGAATATTCCTTTTACACTCCAGTACCAGCAGCTGTCTGCCACTCAACTGTGGCCCCCCAGGGTCCCCACCTCTTAATGTCTGTCCATGCCTTTATATGACCTTCTCCCCAGGAGTATGAGTAGGACTGTCACTTGCTTTCAATATGGCTGCGTCAGTAGCTATTTTACTATTCCTAGGACTCTTCCTTGCTGGACTACTTATATTGGGACTGTCCTTTCCTTGCTGACTTACTGAAGTTAGCTGTTCTGAAGAAAGGATCTGCCAGCAGATTCTAGTTGCTGAGAGGAGTCTCTGTCAGCCAATAGAAATCAGGGACCTCCGCTTCACAGTTGCTAGAACCTGAGCAAGAATGGAAGTATCTCCTTCCCCAGTAGGGCCTCCAGATGAGACTCTGGTCTACCTGAGACCTTGATTATATTCTTCTAAGATGATGAGGACTCAGTTAAGCTGCACCCAACTTTTTTTTTTTTTTTGTCAATTGTAGGGCTTGAACTCTGGGCCTGGGCGCTGTCCCTGAGCTCTTCAGCTCAAGACTAGCGCTCTACCATTTATTTGAGCCACAGCACTACCTCCAGTTTTCTGGTGGTTAATTGGAGATAAGAGACTCACAGCCTTTTGGCCCGGGCTGGTTTTGAACCACGAGTCTCAGATCTCAGCCTCCTGAGTAGCTAGGATTATAGGTGTGAACCACCAGTGCCTGACTGTGACAAACTTTTTGATGTACAAACTGTGAGATAATAAATGTAGGTTCTTTAAAGGTAGTGAATATGTGGCAGTTTTTACTTAAAAATATGGGTAACTCTTTTTTGGGGGGAGGGTCAGATTGGCTGAGAGTTTATCCACTTTATCTTTTTAACAAATTAACTTTTTGCAGATTCTTTATGTAGATTTTAAAATATCTTTAACTTATTTTTTTTTGTCAGTTGTGGGGGCTGAACTCTGGGCCTGGGCGCTGTCCCTTAGCTCTTCAGCTCAAAGCTAGCACCCTACCACTTGGGCCACAGTGCCACTTCTGGCTTTTTCTGCTTATGTGGGGCTGAGGAATTGAACCCAGGGCCTCATGCATGGGAGGCAAGCACTCTACCACTGAGCCAACTTCCCAGCCCTTTAACTCATTTTTTAAAAAATTATTTTCTTGTAAAGATGCTGTACAGAGAGGTTACAGTTTCCTCAGTAAGGTAATGAGTACATTTCTTGTCAGGCATTTTTACCCCCTCCTCCTTTTTCTCCCACCATCCCTTCTTTCCCCTACCTCTCTCCTCTCC